GGATGAATGGATGGCTGACTGGACGGAGGGTTTACTATGCTATATGCATTATTCTAAATACCTTACAATAATTGTCTCAATGATGTTGGTGAGGAATATTAAAGTTCTTCAGGACTGCTTGAAGAACCAACCAATATGTTCCTGGGGGGAGAGGCGGTGAGACTTTGTCTCCTGGACTTTGAACATGTTATCAGAAGGGACCAGTCCCTGGAAAAGGGCATCAGACTGAGCCGCAGAGTAGATAACTCTACAGGGCAGCCTGGAGTGCGCATAAATAGTGAATAAACTAGCTCGCCCCACAGGCCAGGAGAGCTGTAGCCCCACTCAGCCAAGCAAACCCCCCATCCCTGAGGTACAGCTCCGCCTCCCATGTAAGGCATGGCCATTAGAAGGATGTTTGTTTACTTTTTACTTCTTTGGTTAGCAGATAACACACACACGGGTCATTGGCATGATATTAACATCACAATGCAAGTGGAAACTGCACCAGCAGCTTTACCAAGACCAGGCAGAGTTTGGCCTTGAGACAAAGCCCCCCCAGTTGACATACTGGATAGATCTAAGTGTTCCCCAGCCCAGCGTGACACCCTTGACACCAGCTTCTGGTCAGCACCCCAAGCTGCTCCAATGAGCGACCTGCCCTCGGAGTAGCTACTTCTCCTTTCCTCCCTCCTAGACCACCTAGGTACGTGGCAGGTATAGACCCCACTCCCCCACCCCCACTTGGTCACCTCCATCGTCCAACAAGAGCAAACCCCATCCCTTCTGACCTGATCCACCCGAGATCCACCTGATCTATCCCTTCAAGATCATCCACCTAACTCATGAGAACACAGGACTCTCAGCGCTCCCAGATACCAAAAGCATCCCCTGGCCTCCATCTTAACTCTACCTTGCTGTCCTGAAAGACCACAAGCTGGTAAAGCACCATGCTACCAGACACTGTCCTCAGCTGCTCCATGCAGTCCCGATTTCTCGCCTGGACAGGGTCTAACCCGCAGCTGTTCTTTTGTTGGTCTTGCTCTATCCTTCCTATACCTACTCCCTATTTTTTTTAATCAACAATTTTATCGGGACCTAATCCAACTATCATACAATTCAATAGTTCAATCATATCAAGAACAGTTGTACAAGCACTCCACAATTTTAGAACATCTTCTTGCTCATACTTCGTGTTATTAGCTCCCCATTTCCCTCCAACCTCCCCTGCCTTACCCACAAGGAACCATGAATCCAGTTACTGTCTCGATAGATTCACCCATCATAGATCTCATATACTGAAAAACATAGAGAAACAAAAAGCAAAGAGGCAAAAAGCTGACAATAGCAAAATAAAAGAGTAAAACTCAGTTGAAAAGAAAATAGAAAATATTAAAACCTAGAACAACTTTAAAATGGGTCACACGGAGATCAAATGATTTTCACCTAACTACATCTGCAATAATCCACTTTCCAATTCACTCTGTATGGAAGCAAGACTATTCACATCCCTGAACGGTGTTCAAGTTGAGCCTTTGGTAGTATAGTGGTTATGCATTGGGCTGTGATCCACCTGGTCCGCAGTTCAAAACTACCAGCAGCTCCAAGAAAGATTGGGCTTTCTACTTCTGTAAACAGCCAGAGTCTCAGGGGGTCGCTATGAGTCAACCCTAACTCAATGGCAGTGAGTTTGGGCTTATTGGTCTATTTTTCAGAAGGAATTCTTTTTTTTTTAATCGTTTTATTAGGGGCTCATACAACTCTTATCACAATCCATACATATATCAATTGTGTAAAGCACATTTGTACATTCATTGCCCTCATCGTTCTCAGAACAACCTACTCCCTATTTAAAACAGAGTTGTGTACTATTCTTATAATTCATCCTTAAGCAGGACTTCCCCAGCGGTTGGCATCCTTTCTTTTAACCTACCAATCAACACTGCTTGATCCCTTCTTTTTTTTTTTTTTTTTTTGGCTTCTTTTTCTCTTTCTTTCTCTCTCTTCTGATACTTCCTCTGCCACTTTTTGATCTCCTCCCAGCAATTAATCTAAGACTCTCCCCCAGATATTTAATAAAACTGTCTACCACCCCTCTACTACACCAACCAACAGAGTTAACTACTCCCCCAGAACCTCACCTCCCTAACACCCCTAATAGCTACACCAAGATGTCAAGGGGACAACAGAAGATATTCATACGTACACGGACCAACAAGAGAAGCAGATGCAAGTAACCGGACAGCACCCAGACCGAAATAAAATGCCTGAAATTGACAGTACCTGGAATTACCAGAAAAAGAATTTAAAGGAATGATGATTTCATTCATGTAACAGGTAAAGGAAGAGTCTGAGAGGAAAAGTGAAAAAATAGAAAAGCTAGAAACCTCAGCCCATACTGTACAATAAAATCTCCAAACAGAAACACAAAAGTCAAAGAATACAGTGGAAGAATTACCCAGTAATATATCAGAACTACGAAACAGAATTGAAGAGATGGAAACCTCGATTAGTGCGCTTGAAGACAAATCTATAGACTCCAATCTAAACGAAGAACAAAGAACACAGATTTTAAAAGAGACCCGTAAAAGCTTGATAACAGTGTGGGGCACAAGCGAGAGAAACTACCTACATCTTATAGGGATGCCAGAGAGGGAGAGACAAACAAACCCAAACCTACACAGAGTACAGTTCCAGACTTCTGCAAGCAAACTTTCTCATTGCCTGAAGGATGAAAATACAATATTCAGGAAGCCCAAAGAAGCCCAATCCGGAAAGACCCCGCAAAGGGGAACTCCCTGGCATATTGTAATCAAGATGTCTAACCTCAATGACAAGGAAAAACTTCTGAGAGCAGCCAGAGAAAAGAGAACAATTACATTCAAAGGTTAAGCAATTAGAATACATTCAGATTTCTCAGCAGAAACCAAGCAAGAAGACAGTGGAGTGACAGATACTGAGTCCTGAAGAAAAAAGAAATTAAAAAACGCTCAACCTAAAAGCGTGTACCTAGCAAAAATATCACTCAAATACAATGTAGAAATAAAGGTCGTCCAAGACAAGGAGAAAATTGAAGGAATTAACAGAAACGAGACCACCATACATCACTACCCTACAGGACAGGGTAGACCTGCCCCTGTGTTTTTTCATTTCAAATACTCAGTCTTTATGGGAGCAGACAGCCTCAATAGTCTCCCACAGAGCGGCTGCTGGGTTCAAACCACTGACCTTTCCGTTCACAGCCCAATGCTGAACCCCCGGCACCTTCAGGGTTCCTTTTGTAGCCAAGAATTGGGTTATTGTGGACTATTTGTCATCCAGAGGCCCCAGGGTGATGAAAACAGTTGAACACCCAGCTCCAAGCCAAATGGCTGTCAGTTCAAAACCCACCTGGAGGCACCTCTGAGGACAATCCCGGTCACAACCTTCAAAACCCTATGGCGTGGTTCCACTCTGCACACAGGGGGTCACCATGAGTCAGAATGGACTCAGCGACTCCTTACAATGCTGTCTCCTGTGCCTGGAAATGGTCCAGGCCTACAGTGGGGGACGCAACACAGGCATATGGATGTTCAGGTGTTGTATCTTCAGGCCCCCTGGGGCCACAGTGCACCCTCTCCATTACTGCCCTCCTCCCCCAGTACACACCTCCCTCACCCATGCGCTAGAAGGACATCCCCTCCACCATTCTGATAGCAATAGCTCTTTCCCCATCACTGCCTACAGCCTTCCCCCTATCTGCCTCCTCTGTCATGTGTAGATCCCCTGACAGGGTGGGGTAGTAGGGGAGGCTTTTAAATCGAGGACAGAAGCCTGGAAGCTGACTGGGTCTCCTGTGGTTGTTGGGTGTCATGCGGGTTCCAACTCCTAGTGACTCCATGCACAGCAGATGGAAATACCACCTGCTCCGGCTCCACCCCCACGATGGTTCTTGTGTTTGAGCCCATGTTGCAGCCACTGGGTCACTCCACCTCATCAAGGGTTGTCCGCTTTCTCGCTGCCCTTCTACATTACCAAGCATGATGTCCTTCTCCGGGGACTGGTCTCTCCTGATAACATGTCCAGCGAATGTAAGAGGAAGCCACAGCACCCTCACGTCTAAGGAGCACTTCCAAGATAGCAGCGGAACATTGTCAGGCGCTGGGTCTCCTGGGATCTTTTCCAGCTGTCTCCCACCTCACTTTGGCCCCAGAACCTCCATTTGAGGAGCAAAACAAAGTCACTGAGCAGATGATGTCTGGTGGACCTTGGGTAAGAAGGGAGCCCTGTCTACACCACAGAGTCCTTTTGAGTTGTAGCAGGGTCCATGGCAGTGAGGGAGTCTTTGGTAGGATGTGAAGACAGAGGTGGGATTATAAGAGGGACCTGGGTTACTGGGAGACTTTGGCTAGACTTCAGAAGGGTCCAGAACCCACTGGCCCAACACACTGTGTCTGGCCACGTGCACTGTTCCAGAGGAGATACTCAGCTGCCCTGAGAGTCTGAGAATCTGCTTCTTCGCAGGCCACTGCTCACTTTGTTAGCTCAGGCGAGCCAGTGCCTTAAAGGGCTGGCCAGGGCCCAGAGGGATCTGGTAGGGTGGACGTAAGGGCCGGAGAACTGGAATTGGGACAGCGCTGGAGCTGAAAGGAGAGTCAATAGGATGCCTTCAGGGTGCTGGGAATTAAGACCTCCATTTCACCATCTGGAAAATGGTCCGGACGCTGCTGCAGCGGGGTGTCCCCTGGGCAGGGTTGGTGCTGGGAGCACCCGCGGCAAAGAACTCGCTCAGCCCGCAGATCGGACGCAGGGGGCATTGGCCTTAAACTTTGCAGGGCCCGCTGGCGCGCCTCCAGAGGCAGAGACTGGCACCCCTGGCGCGGAGGCCCCTCTGGCTCGCGCGGCCCGCCTGCCTCCCTCTCTCCCGCCCGCCCCCTCTCTGCCTGCCTCCCTCCCTTCCTCCCTCCTCCCCCGCCCGTTCCCGCTCCCAGCTCCTCCTCACTGGCCCGCGCCCGCGCCCCGCGCAGCTCGGCCAGAGCGATTGAGGCTGAGCGCGCGCGTCCGCCTGGGTCTCCGGCGCTGCCCTGCCCGCCGCCCCTTTCCTCCGCCTCCCCTTCCCCTCTCCCCACCGCCCCTTTGGTGGCTCCCACGCCAACAGCATTCGCCCGCACCTCCCGCGCTCCCCGCAGCCAAGATGCCCGCGGCCCGGCCGCCCGCGCGACTCGGCGGGATCTCGCTGCTCCTGGCATTGCTCCTGGGGAGCCGGGCGGCAGCTCTGGCGGAAGGTAAGCGCCCTGATGGGCAGGCGGGACAGAGGGTAGGGCTGGGGTGCGGGTAAAGTTGCGGTGAGGCGAGCGCTGGGCGCCTGGGGTCTGAGCTGACCCGGCCAGCCGAGTACCACGCCCAGGATGGGGAGCGGGGGCGGCTGCCCACACTGGGAGCCTGGAGCCGCAGCCCCTCCGCCGGGCAGACAGAGTGTGGAGGCGGGGAGGGTTTGGGCATTGCCCTGCTGGGCTGCTGTCCTCCAGAGCTGGGAAGCGGACTCCTTTTGGCAGCTCAGAAGAGCCCATGGAAGTGGGGTCTCCTCTCCCCAGATTCCTGGGGCTCATGGCCACCGCACCAGGGGGGCTGGGCGCAAGTCCTCTCTGGGCGTGTGGGTTAGAGGGGAAGCAGGTGACCCGCCTTCCAACAGGGCTTGGGGGGAGGAGGGGACACATCCTGCCATTCTCTCCCAACCGAGGACTCCCTGCCTCCGTGGCTCAGGTTGCCTGGAGAAGGGGCCATGTCCCTCGATGATCCCCAGCGCCTCCCGGGAGCAGGACTTGGGTGTGGCTTCCAACAGAAGGCCAGGCGGTGGGTGAAGGGGGTGCGGGCATTCTGAACTTGTCAAGGGAGGGAGAGAGGAAGGCAGTGGGAATCCTGAGCCCCCTGTCCCCTTCTCCTTCTCACGACAGCCTAGCATCTCTGACAACCCTTGGAAATTGGGGGTGGGGTGGATAGAGTGCTGGCTTCACCCACCACGTGCTTTCTTGGTGGTAGAGTGGGGGGCAGGGGCCCCAAGTTTATCTGAGAATGGCCGAGCCTTTTCCCAGATCAGGGCTGCTTCCTCTCCAGCGCCAGGGTCCCCGCCTCCGCCCCCCCCCCCCGGGAAAAGTTGTGGCAGAAGGCTCTATGGGAGAGAGGTGGGTGGTGTCTGATTCACTCAAAGCTAACCCCCAGAACTGTAGGCGTTTGACCAGACCCCTGGAAGACCCAAGAGTCCTGGGGGCATTGTGGAGACCACCTGCACCTCCGGCCTGGGGACAGCAAAGGGCTTTAGCTCCCTGGAATCCCCTGCTTCCTTTGAGCTCTCTGGACTGGGTTTAGGGGACAAGCAGGACCCCTTGGCTCACCAGGGGGTTTAGAAGCAGCTGGGCACACCTGATTTCAGCACCAAAGGCTTCGGACAGCGCACGGCTTTGTGGGCCCTAGGGCTAGGTTTCTTCCCCTTCAAGTCTTTGCTTGGCCTTGAGTGCCCTCCTCAATATCCACCAGGCGGCTTTCCTCCTCGCCCCGCCCCTTCTCTTTAAATGTGGAGCCCAGAGTGGCAGAGCAAAGAATTCGCCACCTTTTGTTTAACCAGCCATATCATTACAAGAAACCCCCTCCCCATTTTATGAGGTCTTATTATTCACAAGGTACACAAGGGCTAGACGATTTCTCAGTGAAAGGGGAATGAAGGGATTTAGCTTAGGAAATAATTTCCACCACAGCATGCTCTTTCCTAATTAGGTGTCTCTTTTCAACATGGGCTTGTTGGCCTGGAACTGTGCACATACACCCCTTATTTCAACCCACCCTGTAATGAATGCACAGGAAAGGGGACCCAGAAACCACCCTGGCAGACTGCTGGCTTCTCTGAAGTGGCCCCACCAGAGAACTGCCTTCTCCAATCCACCAACCTAATGACTAGCATGAATTGTTATCCAAGTCAATTTCATGCTGAATCTTGCTTTTGTGGCTTCTAATACACAGTGTATGTGTGTTTAATTTTTTAAAGCATTTCATATTTCACTTGACGCTGTGGCTAGCCAGCATATATTTTTAATTAACTTCAGGACCCGGTCAAATTAAAAGCAATTGATGAACGACTTCAGAAGTCTGGCTATTCACGGTGTGGCTATGAATCTGATACTCTTGACTCACAAGGACTGGAAAGGAAACCTGGACAGCCAGTTCTGATGGGGGCATTTCGAGCCCAATGACCTTCTATAGTCGATGCTCTTCTTAACTTGGAGCCCGTTGTCCATGGATGTTAGATGGGGACCGTCACCCTGCTGCAAAACTAGGCTTTCTGTCTGTTTGGGGCGAGTGGACGGAGCTGGTTTTTAAACACTTAAAGGGCACTTGTTGCTGCAGCCTTCTGTGGCTCACGTGACTCTCCAGGCCATTTTGCTTTAAGGCATGAATAAGTCTAAAGTGTAACTTGTTTTTGAAGAGGCTTCTTATGGTCGAAGATGTGCACGTGGGGAATAATGGCAGGGACGTGCTGAGACTACAGAGCTGGCTTGCAATGTGAGACCTGGCCCTTTTGAATACAGAAAACCAACCCAGTGTTACTCAGCATGCCTCAAATGTGAGGCTTCCCCCATCTCTAATGGGGGTCGCTGTTAGATTCGATTATACACTCTCTTCATTCTGGGCTGCTTTATGCCACCCCCTCCCCGTGAAGTTTGGGCTGCTGCTACACGTGCCACCTTATCCCCAAACCTAAAACAACCAAACTCACTGCCATTAAGTCGATGCCAACTCATAGCAACCCTATAAGATAAGGTGGAACTGCCCCTGTGAGTTTCTGAGACTGTAACTATGTTATGGAGGTAGGAAGTCTCATCTTTCTCCTTTGAAACCACTGCTAGTGGTTTTGAACTGCTGACCTTGTGGTTAGCAGCCCAATACATATCCACTATGCCCCTAAGCTTTGCCTGTGGACATGTGGCCAGGCTAGGCATTAGGAAGAGAAGGCCGCCCTCCTTTCCTCCCCTTTCCAACAGGGAAACAAAAAGGAATTTCCTGAGTAAAGCGGTCTGCTTTCTGTTTGTTCCGTAGTCCTTCCCCCATAACTAGAGAAAAAGGTGTTTCCTGAGCAAAATGGCCTGTTTTCTGTTTGTTTCCCCGCTCTCAAATGCATCCCTGCAAGCTGTTTGAAAAAGCTCAATATATAAGCATTCCCATTGGATGCACTGGTAATTTCTGCAACACGCTGGGCAGGATGTCCACTAGGCGGCGCCCAAAGCTATAGCTGAAGCTGGAGGGCAGAAAGAAGGTGTGTGCAAGTGCCAATAGGCCAGAGGAGGGGAGCAGCGGTCAGTGGAGGTGACCTCTCCATCCTCTCTACCATCCCTTTGGTGCTTAGTAATACACTTGATTCCTATTTCTCAAAGGAAAGTCACGGAGGGGGGTCCCTGGGTTCATGCAGCGGAAGCTGGGGGTGGGGGGTGGGGGGTGGAGATGGATAAAGGGCATATCAAGCCTTCACGAAAGATATTTCTAGAAGACAGAGGAAAAAGGTCTTGGTTATACAGCGGGTGAGTCCTGCTATTGCACCAGATAAAAAAAATACCAGTGAAACAGTGGTGTTTGGGGTCTTGGGACCTTGACTGAGCTGGACCCTGGAATTAAATGTAAAGAGTTCGAGAAATGAGTGTGGTAACTTTTAAAAGAAGAGCGATCTGGGTGCTGGGCCCAGCTCTCTTGCTTATGAACGTGGGGCCTGCAGCGAGGGGATTTTCTCTAAGCCTCCACTTGACCATCTGTGGAATAGGAGGGGGTTGGGGGGGGGAGGGGAGTGATGTGAGTTTATGTGTGCAATGAATATGTGAAGCAATGTACAGGAAGCACCTGACACGTAGTAGGTGTTCATGTAGCCCTGACTTCCTTTCCTGCCCTGATTCCTGAAGAACAAAAGGCCTTTGTTCTCTGAGTAGGCACCAAACAAAGCAAAGCTTGCAGCTGGTGTGAGCAGCTGTTGGTATATGGGTCTGGATAATTTAGGCTAAAGTGAAGGGGGTTGTGTTAGGTCAGGTTCTCGAGATACGAGATTTATATCAAGACATGGCTTAGACAGTTGTAGGAATAAGTATGTCCAGTCTGGGGCAAATGAGGCTCTCCCGATTCGTGGAAGCTGATGAACAGGAAGCAGTCTGATGAACCAGAGGCAGCATGGGGCACAGGCTGGTGGCTGCAGAGGTCCCAAGTTGGCTGAATGAATCCACCATCAATAGCCCACTGAAGGCTCTTGGGATCGGCAGGCAATATAAAAGGAGATCGAAGAGCCAGAACAGGGTGGTGAAGCAGAGACAGCAGGGAGCTCAGGTTGGTAGATATAGAAGTCCAAAGTCGGCCAAATGAATCCACTGTCAGCTCCTGGGATCATCAGGCTAAGCAACGGGAGATCAAGGAGTCAGACGCAAGATCCAGCACCAGCACAAAGTGAAGGGCCAAAGAGGATTAGGCTCTCCTAATTCTTGTTCTCTTATATAAAAAGGCTTATGAAACTAAGGAGATGTCATCAGGCTACAACACAATTGATAGGCTTGAGCTCCACCCCTTCCCTTACCCAGGAGTCTCATTGACGTAACCCCTAACCATCACAAGGATGGCTGCAGGGTGGTGAGCAGCTTTTGGGGGCCAGTGGGGATTTGGTGCAAATTCCAAATGCTCAGACCATGTCTCTGCAGACTGCATCTCTTTGGTACCACTCGTAAATTCATGGTCCCAGAGACATAAGGGTTGCTAGGGGTTATGTAAGTGGTCAGACAGAATACCCAGGAAGAGTGTCTTTTGGGAAAGGATAGTCCCTTCTTCATCAAATGCGTGCATTCCTCCAACATTTACTGAGCCCTCCCGCCCCTGTGGCAGGCCCTGTGCTGGAGCTACAGAGTGATAGGATGCAGTTCTGACCTTGACTGTGGCAGCCTCGCCAGTGGGATCTGTAGGTGAGCCACAGTTCCTGGGTCTTGGGGTTAGTGCTCCCTGAGCCCCCTGCTAACCTACAGGTTGGGTGTTTCTTCCGTGCAGTACCGCAGAAGAAAGGCCTGGCAACCTGCTTCTGGGAAGGGAAACTTCCAAGAGAAACGTTGGAGTTCTTCTCTTCTGTGACTTAAGAGGTTTTTCCATGAGTGTTGGGCTGGACTCCTTGGCCACCAAGGGGAGTTGTGTTCAATCCTCTCCCTCAGGGTCGTCAGTGAAGGCTGCCCAGAGCTGACCCTGGAGGCCTCTGGTGGTCTCAGCAGCCAGAGGTCCG